GTTTCAGCATCGCGAACGACTGCCCGACCAACTGTTAACCTGCGGGAACTGGAGGGGAATTCTGTTTGTGGAGTGCGAAACTCTGCTCGAAACAGATCCAGATCCAACAAGAGGGCCCTAAGAGTGTTTTTGGTAATGCGCGAAGTAATGAACGACTGTTTGGCACATCTTGAAGGTGGTTGGGCGACAACCGCATCGGGATCGAAGCACAGAAAGAGCCTCCTGGTCAATGGCCACCGCACAGGAAGAGCCTCCGGAACCCTGCTTCGCACTAGTGAGCACGTGAATTTCACCGGGATCCGAACTAAAAGAGGCTGCGAGATAGAGGGAGCCGGAGAGATAGAGAGACAGGATCCTTATGTTTATGGTTTAAAAAATCCATAGGGAAGAAGCAAGAGCACAGTCGCATGAGAGGCCACATGAGAATTCGCAGTGCTCGTGCAAACGAACTCGACTGCTGCGTACGGGCGAAACGAAAAGTCGGACGCGGGCGAAGCTGGGTGGTTTGTGCGATCCACCACGAGCCAGGAAGCCCAAGGAGAGACTAACGCATAGCTGGAAACGTGAAGTTCGCACGATCCAAAATCCTGTGGTTGTTAAATCCAACGACGATCCACGAAGCCCCCATTCACATGAGAGGCCAGTTGAAAATGAGAAGTTCGCCCCCATCCGAACTTCTTCTACTGTCCGGTTTGGCGATATGCGTAGCTTGGCGGCAGATGCAGCCAAGCTCGAACGCAAGAGCCGGGCCAGCATGTTCTGTGACCCTGTTCGCGCAAAATGACATGTCCGGGTTCGAGCGGACTTGGACTGTTCTTGCAATCCATGAGGGGTTCGGAAGAGTACTGTTAGTTCAATAAACAGGCGAAAACGCCAAGTTTGCTGGGATCCGAACTCAAGGACGCACTTGTGAGGTTATCGCAACCCGGGATGCAGCACGAATCCATGCGCACGTCTGAGGTTAGCCGCAAATGCGGGTCCGATGAAAGGGCATGTGGAAAACGGGAAGTTTGTCGGGATCTGAACTTGAGGTGGGTGTGAGCGAGAGATAGAGAGAGAGAGACAGGTTCTGTGCTTGCGTGTTTGGTGAAATCCACTGCGCAACAAGAAAACCAAAGTATCGTTGGAGACCAGACGAAATTGAGTTCAAGTGGATTGCTCAGGTATCACACCATAAGTGCGCGTGAACTCGCGCTCAGATGGCCGTTTGCTTGTCGTTTACACATTCCCGGGTGAAAATATCATCAAATCTTTGCATGGACAAGAAACATAACATCCGTTCTTAACATTAACTCTTGTCATCGCAGCTTGACCTTTTGTTTTCGTGAACGTCCTGTTACACACCCCACGGAGAGTTTCAAGTAATCGCACAATGCAGAAAAAATGTCCAACCGCACATTGCGGAACCGACAACAGTGTTTTCACTGCGAAAAAATATTTTGTCACTCGTCGCACACTACGAGCACACTCGGTATAGTGTCTACTTGCAAGTACTGCCTCCCACACCTATCTGAACTACTTCATATGTACATTTCCGGCTACACACATGCCTCTCACACCTCTCACTCCTTTTCCCTTAAACACAAGGTCTGACAACCCGTCCGGATCTAGTGACGTACGGCGTTTCCCGCGGACGAGGTCGTGAACCGAAGCCGTACATAGCATTTAGTGATGATCCGTACATGTGGATCTGCGGTCCCTCGACTGTTGCATTCTCCGAAAATATGGACATGTACTTCATCCTGACAAACCCTCTTGGTCGTGCTAAGGATTTCCCTATACAGTCTCGTATGTCGGACACTTTCTCTTCCACCTCATGCCACAATGAAAAATCGTCGACCTGGCCTGCTATTATCAAATCTGACCACTCATCTACACCGTGGTACCGCAACGGCGAGAACTTGTACGTCGGCCTTCCCCCTGTTGCGTCGATTACCACCTCGTTCCGTGACACACGCACAATTGCATCTACGAGTTTCTTACTTTTGTTAGAAGTAGCGACACATAGCACTCTGGCGAAATCACATCCGGCAATAGTCAACCGCACACCACAGTATGACACAACTTGTGGACAAATCCCGGGGCAGCGGAGCGGGTACTGCTCCAAGAATGAACAATGACAAGCATAGTCCAACAACTCTTGTTTCCGCGAACTTCCCCAAGTTCGTGGTGAAGACTTAATGTACTCACAGTCGAGGCGACTGCAATGGCGGCTCAGCATATTGGATGCTGCGCGCGGGAATCGTGAGTTCCACCAGATCCCCTTCTATGAGTTCAGGGGGCTCCACGTCCCAAGCGCTGCTGACCTCATAGACCTCCACCTGCGCCTGCGGCCACATCCGACTGATGGCTAGAGAGTGCGTAGCAAGACGAACGGGTGGAGAAGGTGAAAGAAGGTTGTCGTTGAAAATTTTGGCAGCGCTTCGCCTCCCTTCATTGGGAGCCCCGATATCACGCTGTCGATCTATATCCTAACTATCCCAAGGGTCTCATATGGTGCGAAAGGGCGGAGTCCTGGCTCTAAACAAGGCAACTGGCCCTATAGTCAAGTTCCCTCGAATACAAGGCGTGTGCTCTGTTCGAGGGAACGCTGCCTCCGACTGCTCCGGTCTCCCCTCAGGAGTACAAATGTTCACCCCTATCTAAGAATCAAAATTAGAAGCTCTTCACCTTCTTTCGCCATCTTTCTAAGCCATTTTAGTATTTTTAACGAATTTTAATGTATTTAAGTTAATAAAAAATACCTTTAACCTTCAGAAACCTACTGGCCCTCGACCACTGCCTAGGGGCATACAAGACTTCCCCTAGAGAGTAGCGCGGCAAGTGCGTTTCTCCTTCTGCCGAATGCTAACTATTTATTTTGAATTTATATTATACAAATTCCAAATAGATAATTTTAACCTGTTACCGGCCCCAACCCTTAAGAGGGGGTAAGGGAACATCCC